GCTACTGCCTTAAGTTCTGTATTAATATTTAGTTCATTCGAGAATATATTTTTTTTAACAAATGTAACTACTCCTCCGCTAACTTTGGAGTTGCTTAGTCTGTTTTTAAAGAAACTATTATAATTTTTTTTGACGCCGAGAATTGATCTTTGAAATTAATTTCTTATAAACATGTAATATCAGGACTTGTGTTATATAAAAAATATTTTGTAGAAAAAGGTATTTTTTATAGTAGCCGCTTAAGTTCCATTGGCATATGGAAATAAGTTTATTTATTAGGTATGATGCATTATCCATTTTTAATTTGTTTTTTGGGGTAAAGAAAGTTCAATCTGTTTTATTATCTTGATAAATGTTGTTTTTATGCCTCTGTTTAGGAGGAATGGATATAGATTTCTCATCATTGACGATATTTTTGTGGTTTCAGGGCAGTATTCAGAAGCTACTTTGTCAATTTCAAGGTTACCTTTCGATCTATTAATAAAGTTTAGTAGTTGGAGATAGATGAGCGGATATCTGTTTTGAAGGCTTTCTAGTTGTTGTTTCATAGAAAGGATTCTTGATTCTAGAGTAGGATGATCTGGATTCGGCTTATCAGTTTTTTTCGGTTTAGGGTATTTATTTAGTTTTTTGTATTTTTTGTTGGTTGTAAGGGATTTTGGGTTTTTTTTGTGAGGTCGAGGAGTCTATTTTCTAAGGAATAATAATAATCAGATAATGATTCTAGACTGGTTTCCGAGCTTGATAGGAATTTATAAATATCAAGAGACGAGTGAACAGATGAATCGGTGAGAGGGCATTTAAATGTGTAGTTTGGAGCTATTTATCCTAGTATTTGTGTAGTGTGGATTGTTTGTTGTGTATTTGAGCTGTCTATAGGTGTCTCATCTTCGCTGGTATTGGTTGCTTCTTCATTTATATTTGTGTTTTTCTCTGATCGATTTGTTGTCAAGATCATTTCTTTGTTTTGTGTTTCAATGCTTTGAGAATTAGAGTACGATATATAACCTTAAAACAATATATGATAAAATAACTGTAATACTCTTAAATTACATTTATTCTTAGGACACATGAATTTATTGAATATCTCTGTTACAAAGTTTATCTTTGAAGAAACATTGTTAAAGATTAAAAGAAACATAAATCGATAGATTTTTTCATAGAATAAAATACTGTGAATTAATTGATCGGCTCATCTGGTTCAGTAATTTATTCAAAAAAATTGTTAAAATTAAACTTAAACATGGAAAAATATCAAAAATATATAGACCAGTTGCAAAGTATACCAGTATCATAAACACACGAATACAGAGTTCTCTTGAGTTCAAAGGCTATGTAAGTGAATTTATGCTCCTCGAAATAAATTTATGTACTTACCAACCTATCATTACTTTGTGTGAAATTATTTCATGTTCTTGTACCACAGGGTGCTCTACTTCCAGGTGTGGTTGTAAAAAAGTTGGCATACATTGCACGATATTATGTAAAAATTGCGAAGGCAAAAACTATTGTAACATCGAAATTGTAAGTATGGTACTTGACAATGACAAGAATGATAATGAAACTCTGAGTGATGAGCCGAATTTTGATATGAGTCAATTACTCGATTGTGAACTTACAATTGATAGTAGCAATAATATCGATGAAGATTTGTTTGCTAATGATAATGACGAGGAAAATTGTACAGAGCCACTTCCTCAGAGACCAAAAAGGGCGAGAATTTGTAGAAAAGATGTAGATTTGTAAATAAATATTGTTCTTAGTATCTACGTTTCGAATTATGTATAATATATATAATCAATTGATTTATAGATATAAATTATAAATATCATTGTACCTTATTTCTAGCAATATGTAATGGTTGATAATAACCATACTATTAGCAAACCACAAGTGCAAAATTTTTACAAAGAAAACCGAAATAAAAGCTTGAGCTTCGTTCAACTACGAACGAGCGCTGACCCCCCACCACAACGCCAAGCAGCTGCCGCCGCACCGTTTAGCCGAGCGAGCTAGGATTACTATTCTCTTTTAAATGGACCAATGGACGGTAGAAAAATGAAAATTTGTGTTTAAGTTGAGTTGGGATTCGAAAACCTAGCGAAGTGATCAAAATTTGAAAATTTCAATCGATATTATCACAGAATCTAACAGACTTTAAATTTGTTTATCTCAGCTTGGAAAATTCGCATCTAAATAAATTTTTTTTCAAAATACTCTTCTTTCGAAGACAAACAAATTTATATCGTGAAAAGATATTTTAAACAAATTTTTCAACGCCAAAATGAGAAAAAACTAGATGGAAAAATTTTTATTTTCGGTAAATGTTTTAAGAAATTATGTAAAAAAAATTTTTTAAATTTTGTTTATGTTATTTGTAAAAATATAACGTTCACTCTGCCGATTGAAATAAACCGTTTCTCAATATCGTTAATGTTCATAAATTTAGACGCGATTGAAAAAAAAAAATTTGTTTCCAATATGCGCAGCCGTCATTTTGAATTTTCCAAATCTGAAAAAATGTAAATTTTTAGAAGTTTGCCCTCTATGTTTATCTATGTTTTGACCTCGATATTAATATTTTATTTATAATTACCAGCCAAAAATATAATTTTCGAAAATTTTTTCAATTTTTGGAAAATTTAAGATTGGAAAATTTTTTTTTGAAAAAACTATTTACGTCACCTTCAAGAGCATAAGATTTGCTTCAATTTTCATCTCTACGATTTTTTTGTAAGAACATATCCAGAAATGACACGAGCATAAATCTCTTGAATTTTAGGTGGTCTGAGCTGTGCTTGCAAGCTGCGTCGCAAGCTCCAGCGGAAATTATTAGACAATCTAGAAGAGTGATGCTGGGTCAATATATTTTCATTTAAAAATGAAAAATCAATTATGGGAAACTTTTGACTTTTATTTCCTTACTTTCCCGGACTACTGTGTTATTAAGGAGTAAGCAAATTTCATTTGCATCTAATGTTCTTGACTCGAACACTAATTTTTGGTAAATAAAACAAGCGTGACTGTACATAACTTGGTGTCTACGTACGTTAAAAAAAGTATTTTGTTACAAATTTTCATATCAAATGGTTTCCTACAATTTGAAGAATATGTGCAATATAAACATTTACAAGCCATTAAATTCACTCAAAAACAATATGCACGTTAAATATCGAAACCATAAACGACTATGGAATTGTTCAAGTATTGTTTCAAAATTAACTGCTCATTCTTACTATCGAATCCTAGGGGATACATAACTTAGTAGCACCGTAATTCCGAGATGCTATACACCGCACACATGCCGTCAAGTAGTAGCAGTATCATACAAACATAAACTGACGCAGCGGAAGTAAAGTGCTCCCAAGAGAATAGTCCAAGGAAATTCAGTAGTATCTGTAAGCAGATAGTGCTGAATACACTGTAGCTCTAAATTACTATAGGTATTGAAAAATCTAGTATACCTATGCATAGTTGCCAATTAATTACAGACAATTTAGATATGTGCGTTCATGAAATTGGAGAAGTTTCATCAGTACCGTACCCGTATTATAAAGAGACATTTGCAAAATTTTTCATGCTAAATTATTTAAATCGTGCTAAAATGAAGAAATATATCCATTGCCGTCGACCTTAATACTTTAATGAATAGAAATACACCACAAAGCACAACAGATTTTTTTTAATAGATAATAAAAATCTTTTTAAACTACCAATTTGCCAGCAATCATTTAAAATATATTTCATTAAGTAAATGATCCACCCTTATCCTCCTGTAACAAATAGACATTACTTCTCCAAGTTAATTAAGGAGAACTATTTTATTGTAAGAAAATTGTTTTTAATTTATAACTAGACTTTTTCAAATATGTCTAGAATAACTATTTAGTTAACTTATTGTTATTTTTTAATAGGGATATTGGTAATGATAAAAATTGAAAACTAATCTTTGTAAAAAATTATTTATTTCATACATTTGATAATAACAAGGTTCGACTAATATGTTACATTTATATATTCATAAATATTAGTGGTGTTCCAGCAAAATCCGAATTTTATGAAAACTATTGTTTGAGTCATCCTTTTTGATAATATTATACGCAGTAAGATCAAAATTCAATCAAACCCCGAGAACTCACGACGCATAATCGTTATAGTCGTTTTTCGTTAAACGCCTTCACTGCTCAACACGACTCGACTTCAATATTCGTTGACGATAACATGAACTGTTTGTAATATTATATGCATTTGAGAAATACAAAAGATTAAAAAGTTCATTTTAAAGATTCATAAAATTATGATCTAATAAGATTGATACAATGCGTAAAAGTCGTTTTTTACATGACTGACCAACTCGAGTCAACATCTATATCTGTTTGTTATAAATAATAATTGTTATTTCGGAAAAAGTTAAATATTCCATTTAAAAATATCGGAAGCAGAGATTGTTTTAGCTCAATATCAATTATCAAAAGTAAATGGTAGTTGCGTATTTTTTAATATTTCAAAGTTATGAAAAACCGACTCAACTAAAACTACTGGAACGCCACTAATATTATCTTTAAAAATTCACATATATATATTTATACCGGTTATTATTTTTAATTATTTATAAAAATAAGCAGTTGTAGTTACAGCAATTGTGTCCTTATTATTGTAATAAACAAATAATATAGAATTAATTTTAAAATCACATTTGAATTCATTAAACGAAACCATTTTAATTTGATTTTATGTGTAATATTTTTTTCTTAATTCATAATTTTAAGCTTAACTAATTGATCTTACCAAGCAAAAATCTATGTCTTAGTTGATTTCAATTTTTAATTTAATATTTTTTATTGAGCTAATGTGAGGGCTTTCATTATTTTTCATATGGCAGCATTCAATCGTCGTATAGATTGCTCGTTTATTTGTTTAAATTGCACTGATTTACGACCAAAAATAAACTACCTTTAGACTAGACTAGCGTATAAATATCTCATTGGACAGAATCTCGAGCATTAAAATTATGTCTTTATTTCTTAGTTTTAATAATTATTAGCAGTAGAATAATAGCTAATAATAATATTGATAATAATGATAATAATAATGCATATTCTTAAACAACATACAGATTACGCTAATACTCTTTATTAATAAAAGTTTATGCAATGCTAACAATATGAGTAATTCCACCAAAAAACTGCTATAATTCAACACGTTTATTTTCATATATTCAAACAACGATACTACGGAATTGTCAAAATACATGCATCTAATTTTCATTCCCCATAGAAGAATTGACACCATTAAAAACAAATAAGTTTCATGATAAATTACTAAATCAAATGTTAGTTTCTGAATAAAAGAAAATACGAAAGGCTCAATTTCTTTTTTAAATTTCAGATACACCATAGAGTGTTCAAGAATTAGGAGTGTACACGCTATTTGACATTTTTTTTATCTTACCGAATTAAAGGGATTTTTCTGTGAAACTACTCGTATAGCAGAATCCTTAAAGCTAGTTCGCTTTTACAAATGGACAAGTGTCAGATTATGTGCAACTGGAATAGCGAATTTTACTACACTCTTGACACAAATTATAAAAATATCAAAGTATAAGCAATTAAGTTAACTGTTAATATTTACGTGAGAGGTGAAATAATGATGATAACTGAACTTAATAGACCCATTTGACACTGCTAAAATAATGAATCGTATTTGCTTAAATGAATTTCTGTCGATAAATTTTGCAAGCTATAAGTAAAGAACGACTGATTAATTTACTGACTTGAATAAATAGATTTGTGTAGTCGTGACGTGAAAATATTAAAAAGCCAACAATGATTGCCATTTTCAGCTGCCATTAATGTTCACGCTCAAAGCAAAAACGAAATAATGTAGCACGCATATTAACCAATCCAACAGCTGCAAGATATCATTAGATTTTTAATTTTTTATGAGGAAATTTCCTGCTAACAGCTATAAAGAACATTTCGCTTTTAATTCATCACAACGCAGGGATGAGCATTTATCGATTGTAATTGTTTCAAGCAGCTACAATCAATAATTAATTTTGGCGAATCGTCAGAGAAAAGCCGTGGAAATTTTCTTCACTTATTGTATTGGGATCTTAAAAGATCTGGATATAGACATTATTCATCTGTACATAAAAGTGATAGTCCTATGAAAAAATAAGTCCAGAAATATGTATTCCTGTCTTTCAGCAAAAATACATTTTTGCAGCTTAGCAAAGTGATGCTTCGTGCTCTTGTTCGTACCTCATAAAATGAAGTCAACAACAAATATGGAATTATACATTTTTATTCCAATATCTGCAAGTTTGTACAAATTTTAAAAAGGGATTGTCCGCATGCTCAGCATCCGAAACAATAACGAAAAATGAAATCATTTTATTTTACTCTCATATTCAAATAGAGCGAAATAAATGCATACACACGCAGTATAGTTAGAACCAGAGTACAATTAATTTTGCCATGCCGTGTATTCAACTGTTTATACATGATGTTATAATTGTTATACCTTATTATGTTCTGCGCAACATTTTTCTATTAACAGATTGACAATTACTTATTGACGACTCGTCTTTCAATTCTATATATCTTGCACTTTTACCTCTATTTATGAGTATTAAATATAGATTTTTATATACTTTTCTTTGGAAATTCAAGATAAGTTCAAAGAATAAAATTTATACATTAAGATAAATTTAGATTTTGAATATTTAACCAATGCTAATAATAAATCTTTATTTTAATATAAGACGAAAAAAATATTTGCATATTTGACGCTGATAATTCATTTTTATATTTTGATCCATTGGTGATTATGGAAAGGCTTATCTTCAATTATCACATAGATTCCCGGCAACAGTCCTTTCCTGAGAGTAAAACATAAACAAACATATCTTTTATTCACGTTTCATAACTACAGAATACTTTTTTTCGAGTTACTCAACAGATGCAACGATGTGTTACGTTGTAACAAACATAAATCAAATGAACAGTAATTTCAAACTATATACAACTAAAATAAATTAAACATATTTTCGTTGCCAAAAGCACCGCTTTATATACTAAAAATAAGAAGCTAATTAAACAAACCAAATCTAAAATGTTTTACAAAACTTTATTTTCTAAAGAAAAATCAATGTTTTTACTTATATATTCTTATAGTTAACTAGGTAAATGGAAAATTAATGCGGTACTACCTACAGCAACAACTAATCCCATATGTTACGTAAACTTCCATCTACATACACTCTCATATGTACGTACAAATTGGATCAGTTTATCGGCTACGTACGAAATATTTTTCTATTATAAATGACTTTAACTCTCGACTGGTATATGTTCGTTTATTGATTTTATTTGCTATCCAGAAAAAACCAACAATTTACCTCACTTTTTATCTTGTTACAACTTAACACATTTTTCCATCTGATAAATAATCTAAAGATAATCTCGAAACTAGATAACTAATGTGTGAGAATGAACAATTGTCTAAAAAAAAACTTATAAAGCTGATTGAATTAATTTCGGAAAGATGAATAAGTAATCGATTGGCTTTATAATGGAAAATCACGGCTTTGCCATTTTGTCCTTTGGCTCTCGGAATTATCCGTTGACCGCCCTCAGGCTGATAGTGCGAACGTATACACTGCCGCTCACGTATTTTTACCCCCCTCCGAGCAAAATTGTTTAAATTTCAAAGTTTCATATATCCCTTCAAACTAACGTACAGAGACGAGCGGCAGCACATTTGAAAGCTCTTTCAAAGAGATTTCACATGGTATATATCACAACATCAATCAAATGGTTTTTCTAATTTTTTCAAACGATTATCCATCGATGAAAATTCCGAAATTTTAAGTACATTTTTTATCTCTTACCAATTTTTTATAGAGAAAAAATCGCAGGAAAATTTTAAGCACTGGATTTTCTTTCTCTTCCCAAATCCTATCTAAATTATTCATTTAAAAATTTTTTACATCAAATATGACCCGCGTTTGAGCATTTTTCTCGAAAATTTACGTTTTTTTCATATGTTCATAATATTCTAAGTTCAAGTCATAGAAAAAAGAGCACATGAAAGAAAATGTTCTTTTTTCCATGTAAAATACTGTGAAAAAATTTTTTTTCTACAAAAAATCTGAAAAATTTCCACAGTATTTTTTCTCTATAAAAAATTGGTAAGAGATAAAAAATGTACTTAAAATTTCGGAATTTTCATCGATGAATAATCGTTTGAAAAAATTAGAAAAACCATTTGATTGTACTTGTGATATATACCATGTGAAATCTCTTTGAAAGAGCTTTCAAATGTGCTGCCGCTCGTTTCTATACGCCGGTGCGACGTATAGTTACGATGTAAATCCGTGTTGCCGGCGCGCGGGGTCGTTTGAGGCGACAGCATGAATAGGACCAACGGTCTGTAGAGGCAGGGCAACAGTGAGTAGCAGTAGTTAAGGTGCAGTAGAGATCAGTGTCGTGTGTTCTTTCTCTAACATATTCGGGCGTTACATTTATACTATTATATTCTATTATATTACACACACACACACACACCTAAAGTGGTACCTTTGCGGAGTTTTGCTATTTTTATATCTTTTACTTTTGAGGTCATATTTGGGTTCCTGACTACAAAATTATTAATATAAAATAAAAGATTTCGAGAAATTAGACTTAGTTCGTGAAATATATTCACTTTTTATAACTGATGGCAGTTTGCAAAGATTTAAATATATATATATATATATATATATATTGTTGGCTCCAGTCGTTTAAGGAGAAAGCGTTTCTCATAGGACCATTAACTGACTTACTTAATGCTTGCACGTTGAGAGTACAAATTGGCAGAAGATTTAATCCTGAAAGATGTAGAAAAGAAGGTCAGAATTTGTAGAATAAAAATGCAGACTAGGTACCAATATTGAGAAATACAGAGATAGCAAGGTGCAGATTGAAATAGTTGAGAAGAAACAGAATGAGGTAATATTGATAGTAATAATGGATTAAACAGAAATGTTGGCGTCCTTAAGAAATTGGCAGAGAATTTCAATAAAATCAGGTTTGCGGGTTTGGGATCAAAAAGGAATTGTAAAATTGTGCAAGGAGGGTAGGATTTTACTCTTATGAGCTTAAATAATAATGATTTGCGTTAATGATTAAATCTCTCGCAAGACTAAAAAACGTAGTTAAGATCTTCGTTACTTATACCACAAGGACACAGGGAGGAGTCAACTAGATATTTTCTGTATAAACTGTAAGCTAAACCGTAGCGGTTGCTTCTCATGCGCGTAACTATCACAATTTATGTTCTACATAATGAAGTTTTATGAAACCAAGGGGAATAAGCCAAGATTTGAAGAGGTACACATTTTTTTTAAATAGTTAATCCCTTGGAATCAAAGATTTGAAGAAATTTGATAATTTTATCTTTTCAAAGGTCGTTAAAAATCGTGAAAAAAAATAGAAGCATGTCAATCTTAAATTATAAGTTTAGATCTAGAAAATTGGCTCAGGACTATGAATTGTTAAGTCGACAGAGAGTTTTTTTATCGGTAAAAAACAAGGTGTGTAAATCTGATCGCAGAATTGTTCGCCAAATTCTTTTAAGGAGCTTGTCACATTAGCTATTGCGGCACTTTCATCTAAAATAATTTTCAAGTTTGTTGTGCTTCCGATGAAAAAAACCTAACATGGTGGAAGTAGGTTAAAGCAAATTTTTTTTGTAAATGAGTTAAGTTTAAAATAGGCTTTACGAAGTGAAAAATTGTCGAAGTATTTTTTAGCGAATTGGCTAGGTTGGAGATAGTTATAACTGTACTGATTAAAAATAGAGAGAAAACGTAAGATGTAATTGTATGCAAGTTTTCTTTGTCTAAGATGAAAAAGGGTGAATGTGAGATTTCGCATAAACGATTCTGTTAAGTGTCAAATTTCTCAATCCTAAAGCAAATCTGAGAGCATGTCTTTATAAAACCTTAATCTTGTCGAAAAAGTTGTTTTATTGCTTGGAATACAACAAAGACCGTAGTCAACTTGTAGATTAAAAGTGTTGTTTTAGGAGGGTGACCATTCCATTAAGTTATACGAAGTAATATTGTTATATGATGACTGGTAACGTTTTTTCAACTATGTGTTCTAAATGTGAAAATCATGAGAAATTGTTGTCTAACATCAATCCAAGGAATTTTACGCTATTGAAAACAGATATTTGGATAGAACTAACAGTGATCGATAAGTCCGAAAAGTCACAATCTATATGATTGGTGTCATTATTATGGTAGTTTTTTCAAGCATATAGTAGAAAAGACCAATTTCTTTAAGGTTAGTATGAACTCTTTTTAAATTATGTTCTAATATTTTGATGTCAGTCTTGGGATCTTTAGCAGTTGCCGTGAGAACCATCTCATTGGCAAATTGAAGACATTCGTATTCTGTAAGAATAAAATGAGTGAGCATACACTAATGCTCTAAAGAGTGGGGCTAGATACACGTCCTTCAAGAACATTTTTCCTAGTTGAAAAAGGTCCAATGATTTCGCCATTTATGTAAAAGTAATTTAGTCTTTCGGAAATAAGATCGTAATAAAATTTGCATACGGTTTCTGGAGCATCTAGCTCTCCGAATAGATAGATCAAGGAATTAGGATCGAGATCATTAAAAGCGCTTTTAATATCTAACAATAAGTATGTTACTGCAGTGTATAGCTCATTGATGAAGTCTGTGTAAATTTTAAACGTGAGTATCGAAAGATTGTCAGTACAAGAACAAAATTTACGGAAGCTAAATTGTAATAGTGGAAATTTGATATTGTGTTCTAGCCACCTAGAGAGTCTTACATGAATCATTTTTTCAAAGAGCTTAAGAGTTGCTGATGCGAGTGAATTCGGTCAAAGTTTGTTTTTTTCCGATTTAGGAATGAAAAATATAAGAAATTAATTTCGTAATCGTGGAAATGTACCTTTAAAATATATAAGTATGTTTGTTGAATGATTTTAATAATTCATGAACAGTATTGTCAGGTAAACTCGATAGGATGCTATAGCCTATTCTTTCTAGACTAGGCGCAGAATTTATTTTACTAGAGCATGACTTTATGGCAGATTTGATTTCAAGAAATGAAAAGGACTTGTTGAATAGTTGGTTGGTTATTTCAGATACTATATGAAAGAGTTAGAAAAATCTCGAGGAATGCAAGAACTAGGGCAGCTATAATGTCAATTATACTTTTTTATGCATGAATGTTTTGTATATTGTTGGGAGCTTGAGATGCTCCAAAAGACCGATGACGGAATTTTTTGATTATTTGAAAAATAGTTGTAACGGGAGTCAAAGGACTGATAGTTTGACAAAATTTTAAAAAGGCAATAGTTTTCACTTGTTTAGAAATGTATTTAGCATATTGTTCACCAGATATGAGTTCTTCTAGGAGTCTTAGGTCGTGAAAAAAATTGTTTAGGGCAAGAAGAAATCCTGTATTTCTTAGCTCCATCGCAATCAACATCCCGCCGTGGAGCGTGTGGGCGGTTAGTATGGTTGTGTTTCTTTTTTTCGTATTTGTTTTTTAATTACAGCTATAACTTCCTAGTATCTATAGAAGGGAAACTGTTTGGATTATAATCGAATAAAAGTGAACTATTTTTCAAGTAATTGCAAAAGAGTAGCCACTATGCTGACTTTTAAGATTTTTTAAAATAATATTAAAGATTTAAGCCAGGTTGAAGGGGAGAGAAAGGAATAACAATATTGATTGTGATCAGATAATGATCGCTACATAGGTTCTTATCGTTTACTGACCATTCGCTTAGGGTGTGTAAGTAAGGAGAAACAAACGATAAATCTAGATAAGAAGGCTTATTGGGATTTTTTTTGTTTATATACGTGGGAGAATCGTCATTTAATAAAAGCAATTCATTATCCGTGAAGGTAGAGAGCAAACTGTCCCCTATTTTGTCAACGGAGGTACTTCTCCATGCAACGTTAAAGTCACCACCAATAATAATTAAATTGAAATGTAAGAAGCTGCCAGTAAGCTATAGGAAAGTCTTTATTAGGAGCTCTGTAAACAGCAACAACAGTCAAATCAGAAATATCTAACTTGATTTGCGTTTAAATGCGTGTGTGAGTGCGTAATTTTGCCGGGCCCTACATCGATCGTAACCGTTAGTCGCGTTTTCGAGTTTTTACGGAAAAAAGTTGGCGTGCAGAGTTGTCGGTAAGCATACGCCTTATTTTGATTAAAGTATCGTTCAATTAAGCGACTATCACTGTATTTCGATCTGTCCCCGATCCTCATGCTGACGTTAGTTTCGCGCACGATTAGCGTACACGTTCGGTATACTATTCAGTCGTGGGAGCGTTTGCACCTTCCGAAGTCAGCCCTTTGAACATGGCTTGACTTTCTGGATTTTTCGGTCGCTACTCCATTACAACTTGTAAAAATGCACAGAATAGTCTTTCTTAAATTGTCAGAGCAAACGTTCACTCGAAGAAACAGAGTGAGAGTCTGACCTTGTGAAGGTAGTCGAGGTCGCGATTCTGCGGCATGTTCTTGAGCATGTAGCAACGCCGGTGCGGACTGTGACGGCTGTAGTAGCTGTCATAGCCGCTGCTCGAGCTGCTGGTCGCGCTGCGCTGATTGAGGGCGAGAACTGCGGCCGCCGCGTGAGCCGGACTCGGATTGCTTTGAGCCGTTGTGGCGAGGGGCAGCGTGGTCGACGCCAAGGGTGCCAAGGCGGTAAGATTGTTGGCGGGCTCGCCGCTGCTGCCAAGAAGGACCTTCTGCTGGTAACGGCTGCCGCGCATCGCGCCGGCATGGCCGCCTGCATAGGCGCCTACTGCCGAGCCCAAAGTCTGAAACCACAACATATCAACTTCAACAGTACCGGCTATCCTTGCACTTAATAACTACATCGATCCAATTCCAGCCCATGTCCTACCTACAGCTCATTTGCATTCAACAGTCATTCGTCAAATAAGTGCCAGTCATGCAACACCCAGTCAGCCTACATTCATCTCATTGCCCACTTTTTACTAACAAATTTCGAGGTATATTCTTTGACATTTACAAAGAGCCAATCTTCCTCAAATTACGCAATTCGATGAACATCCAAATGAATGTACATAATTCTTTAAGGGAGATTTCATAGCAAATAGACATTTCAGCCCAACTCATTATACGCCAATAATTTACAAAGTAAATAACAGTTTAAGGCGGTTGATCGTCTTTATTGTCAAACACGAAATAGCGAGTATGTTTTTAAAAAATCGTTGGAAAACATTAAAAAATGTCGAATGTAACAAAAATTGATACTTACTTGGCGATGAGGTCTTGCAATGCCGTACGTTTCCAGACATAAAATTTCAGCGACGCTTCTTCGAAAATTGCGCGTCATGAAGCAGTAAACAATGGGATTGAGAGCGCTGTTCGCGTGTCCAAGGAAAAGGCAGTAGGACAATACATCGGAGATGACTCTACCATCACCTGAAATGTATCAAGTATAGCGTGTAAAGAAAAATAACTTATGATTACAAATTGAAAATACATTCCAAATTCACCGAAATACAGAATAATATATCGAATAATTAAGGATGCAAGTTAGTCGAAAAGGCACCCTTAATCAATTACAAAACAGTAATATAGATAAATTCATTCTATGTGAAGAAAATATTAAGTTTACCACAAGTAGGATCTTTCTTTATCACTCTGGAGCCCCAAACAACTACGCTTATCTTTAAAAATTCTTTTTCTCTCAAACTAACAATGCTATTGACATCGGATTTACGGCATCATGTTTGACACGGCTAATCTCCTTCTAATTTGATGATATAAGGAAGTCCTCATTTGTATTTTTTATAAATATATGCCTGTGTTATTTTCAAATTGTTAGGAGTGATCAAAAATTCAAAAACTCATTTGTTGCGAATTTAGGCCGAAAGCGCTCGACTCAAGGCAGCTATATCAATTTTACAAAATTTATAAACAACAATAAATCAAAAATATGTTTGTCAACCTATCAACCGTTCTCGAGTATTACAGGCAGCGTGTCGACAAGTGCCCCACCCTTCATCTCCGATGTCTTTATTATTGATATTTATGATGATTATTACATTTCATTATTTTTGTAATATTCGTTTTATCGTAACTACTATTGACCAAGCGCTAACAGCCAAAAACTACTTAAAAATCGATTTTGTTGTTGTTTTTTTTGTATATCAACATTGACTAAAAATAAATAGTTTATTTTTTCAATTATAAATCGATCATCACTAATTTATAATTATATATAATTATTTTTATGTCATACCCTACCTTTTTCACTAAAACTTCATCATATACTTTGTTTTGGAATCCACTAATTATGTCTTTTCGGCTATGTTATTGCTTTCACGGAGCCTCGCTTCAGCTCGCAGCTTCTAATCTCTTTTACGGTAACGTTTTCAATGAAATATTTCTGTTTAATCCCATATCGTATAAATGTGAATTTACATGAATTTACAACGTTTTAATTAGATATAAGATCAGGAAAAAACATATAAAAAAATACAGAACTACTAAGGAAAGGCTGGATTGCTAATGCTATAAGGACTGAGAATAATCGGATTTACTTAATACAGTAAGGCAGGCAGCTTTCAGTTGATTCAGAAACTGGAAGGCCTTATACAATAACAGACTCAGCGAAGTTACGGCTATTTTAGTCTAGTATACAAATTGCAAATTAACATTCCATAAACAGTGCTAGAAATATAGTCTACATGAAAATGTGATATCCTCTAATTGCTAGGATATTCAAGTAAACACTACGTTTCAAGCTATTATGATCAACTTTAGAAGTATAAGTGACCGATTTTCCTGAATCTTTGTATAATTATTATCCGTACAGTAGTAAATTTTAGTATAAAATTAAAAAAATTTTTCAAAAATTTATATTTTCGTAATGATTGAAACTCTTCCTCGTATCAATTTTTTAAATACTTATGAAACTACAAGCTATCAAAGTATGAATGCAAAAATACCTTTTTTAGAATATTCAAAAAGTTCTTAACTTTTCCTATAAAGAAATTGCTATATCTCAAAAACTATATTTTAAATTATCAAAATTCTTCTTTGGTTGCATTTCTTGACCTTTTTTCTAAACTAATCAATAATAAAATTGAAAAAGCATTCGTTCAACGAGAATTCTTCGTCCTTCAGGCAATATTCGTTAAATGATTGATTGATACTTATCAAATTGTTCCTCAATTAGTATATGGCATGATTCATCATCATTATATTTTTCTTGACTACTTTTCAATAAATAGTTCCTTAATTATTGTTGATTGATAGTGTTATTATCATAAAACTGAATAGAATTATCGTCTTCTAATTCAACTTCCATAGACTGCACCTCTTGGCTGCATTGTTTATCTAATGCTCTCTTCAAATTCTTATCATGGATCTCTGCCCGTATTTGATATACGTAATCTTCAGCTAACAGTGGAAATTTGCCAGTTGCGTTTATTTCATTGCGCGTACAAATGATTTTGTTACACATTGGTCTACAGGTTTCAAACAAAAACTCGTCTTCTTCTAAAAATGAATAAAAAAGCTTATAGTCTTAGATAACCTTCGAATTTTTTATAAATCCATTGTTATTGGAATTTATGTGAAGAGTATACTTGATACTGCCCATCAAACCAGACAGGTATAGCAAAGGTCAGTCACAAAGGTCGGTCTAGACTGATGACATAGACTCCGCACTCGGTAATGTCCCTTATTGTCTACGAGCTAGGGGGATGGGTGTCATCGCCGATATGAGTAAAATGGTCCACCCAAGTGGCTTTTATAGATCCGCTGAACACGAATTACGAAGATGGCTTATGCAAAAGTGTACCATTATTTAGTTATTAATAAATTGATTGTTTAAATGACAATAAAAGTCATTTATGGTCACCAATATTTTGAAATGTGCCATGCATTTCTGAATTCACAATGAAATAGCAATTTTCAAATTCAAAAAATATTGCGTAGAACCCGAGATACAATTGATGTAACAAGCTGACGTAAGTGACATGAGCGCAAAGACGCGCAATACAGCTATCAAATTAAAATTAGAATATTTTGAGTTTTATTGAATATTTTTAAAATCTAAAATACCAGCTATTTCTTATCAAATAAGGAACACTTAGCTGTTTTAAAAATAGTGTTAGATTTATTAATAAACTAGTTATAATAATTTAAATATTTAAGCAATTGATAACAATTTAACCGTTAACTTTACTACAAGCCATCTTAAAAATTCGTATTCAACGGCTCAAGCCACCTCAAAGTGGAACGTTTTGCCCCTACTGGCCAGAACACTTCTCTGGTTCTAAGACTATTACTACTTCTTATATAATGACCGTCTTATTAATTTTAATAGTCATTCTTACAGAAAAATTAGCCGAGAAATACAACGGAAAACATTTTGAAAATTAAAAATACACTTTTTGAAATATAGCTCTTTGTTTGTTAGAAAAGTTCATAACTTTTTGAATATCGTTAAAAAGTATTTTGACATCGATATTTTGATAGTTCATGATTTCATAAGTATAAAAGAAATTGATTTTAATATTTTGACGATTGCGAAGATATGAACAATTTAACAATTTTCATCGAAATGGTTTTATTATTAATAACTTTTGATCTATTAATCAAAATGTTCTAAGATTCACTACTATACAGATAATACTTATAATAAATTAAAAAAAAAACGATCACTTGCACCTCTGGAACTGATCGTAATGGCCTAGAACATCTCAGATAAAAAAGAGTTGATTGTTTTTCTTGAGCTCTTTTTATATCGAGCCTTTCAATTAAGAATTATTAACAAAAGTAAGATATTGTAATATTTATATGCATATATATATATATATATATCACTGTCAAATATTTACCGTATGAAATACTTACGAACAACGCCAAGATCTACAAGTAATCTAAGTACATTGTAAGGTAACCAGCATAGCGCAAAGAGAACCGCAAGTAATAGCAAAATCCATGCTATTTTTTTTCTCTCACGGACAAGTCTGAAACCCTAATTGATAAAAACTTTATTAAAATCTAGTCGAAAAGTATTATTTTTTACCTAAATTTATTCCTAATATTTTCGGTGCAAATTAATTATTTTTCAACAAATGTATCGTTGAAGACAATTATCATGTTATGTTGTAAGTTTTTTTGAATATTCAAAAAAGTATATTCTAAATTTATCTACATTGCTATCATTCAAATATCCCCTTATAAAATAGTCATAACCGGATATTGCGAAACCAAGATAAACGCTATCTGATTGGCTTATGCAGTGCACGTGTTTCTATTTGAATCTAATTTAAAAATGTTTCATCAAATTTATGCTAATTTCTGTTTTCGTTTAAATATAAATATATGAGTCATTTTAATATTTTTCTTTAAATCGTTTGTATATACATAAATTATATTTTATTTTAAAAATTAATTTTTTCTTTAGTAAGAATTTTTTTAAGAAAAATGCTATTTTCTCCATTCAAATTATTGTTAGAGAGCAGAAGCTATAAATATCTCTCTACATCGATTATAGTCTCTGATAAAAGTCCTCTAACAAAAGTTATGAAAATTGTCAGAAAACCAGAGATGTTTCTTTTTAAACCTTGTAACGGGGTTGCTTACCGTTTAATTATTTTTATTAAGACGATCGCGTAAATACGCTCGTAATCACCTATGTTCAATACGGAGGTCGGAGAGCAAGAGGGAACGGGTGTCTGTTAACCAACAAATCTACGAATCTACAGGAGTGGAATCAGTACGGAATAAACACGTCGAAATTACTTGTTAATTTCACGAACGAAAACTCTTTATTGTCCTCTCTGAATGTTACACTAGCATTGGCCGGCGTGTTTATGTTTACGGTAGCGCTCGCACGACGACAACATACGGTGTCGGATCGCTCGCCGCTCTTTGTTAGCAGAGCTATTACATGCACGCTTCGCTTCGAGTACGGAAAATTAGTTATCATGCATGCAATCGCGGTCGCGAGATTAAGCTAGCCAGCTTACCTTTATTTTTACAGACGTACGAAGACGAAGGGAACAATTCGCACTCTCACTACGGGGAAGTCTGTCTGTTCTATGCCGCGGATCGCGAGTTCGCGCGCACACGGTTTCGCCCTCGATGGCGAAACCTCACACACACACTCTAGATTCCGCAGGTAACGACGCTGCTTTCTCTGGCTCAGGTCTGCGCTCCGTGTAGCTCTGTAACGACAGCCTCTCGATCTCTCTCGTGCGCACAGGTAATTAGCTTGTCGGTCTCGATTTCCGTGGCTTCCGTATCGGTAGCTGATTCTTCACTAGTTCGTTTTCAATCGCGCGCGTTCCGTCTGCTCGCGTGCCGAATTCCGTCATTACATATTTCGTCTCCCGGCAAGTGCTGCCCCCGCAGGCAGCCACTAGGTTAGGCAATTAGCGCTAATTTAACGTTTACCGTCACAGCCCCCTTCCAGTCTGGACCTGCGGGGTCCTCGACGATCACCATATTAGCGCTGTCCCTTCCGAGGTGGAGAGGAGAATGGATAATAATGGGTCATAGTCCATGTGGTATTTAGAACAGTCTTTATTCGGTGAAGGTGTGTGTGCGTTGCCCTGCCCACAGGGGTAGGGAACGATTACCTGGTTGGTCTTGTTGGTTTCTCCCAGCCTTCATCGTCTAACGGAGGACGGCCGCGTGCCTCCCATCCCAGCCTCTCTTGGACCAGGTCGACGTGTTGCCGCACACGTGGGCAGCGGTCTGCGCGGGTCACCCCGGGGTAATGGCAGATGTTGCACCCTTCCCACTGAGCGCGGGAGAGGGTGCCACGCGGGAGGCCTCGTTCTCTGGGGGTCAGTGGCAACCCGTTCCGCTCATGGGGTCCTCACCCGTGGACCTTACCACAAGATTAATATGGATGGGCCCCGTTGCTTGACCCCCATTGCTGCCGTCTATATTAACCACCAGGTTTACCCCGCACGCCCGCGGACCCTGGTGTGTCGCGGCCTCTGACCTGTCCTCTGGGGCCGTAGGCCTGGCCCCGACGACTGGAGGCTGGGAGAGGCCCATGGGTGCGTCACTCACCGAGCCCTCGAGGGCCTGGCGGTGACGGCGCTGGACCTCCTTTAGTGCCTGCGCGAACTGGCGCCGGCGGGACACCACCTTACTCCAATGGTCCATATTATCGGGGCGGTGTCCCGCAGCCGTGTACGCGTCGTACTCTGCATCCACGGCCCGTTGGAGGGTGTTGAAGGTCGTCCAGCCTTGTTCGACCTCCCTCAAACCCTCCACTATCTCTTGCCAGGTTCGTTCACCAGGCGAGGATGCCTGGCTAGTGAACCTGGGGCGCCAGGTCGCGTCAGCGAAGCCCCCCTCCGTTTGGGTGCCAACGGAGGTTGATGGGGCCTTCAGCGGGATGGTTTCCGCTGGAGGTCCAGGTAGCGTCGCGGTCTCGGCGCGCGTGATTCCTGGCGCCGTCAACGCGCGTGGAGTGGTCTCATCAGAGGGGAGTTCTTCTATCAGCACGGACGACGAGCTCTCGTGAGCTTGCGCCCGTGCTTGCTCCTCTTCCTCCTTCTTGATGCTAATGAGGTGGAGAGCGGCGTGAATCACCCCTTCTACGGCGGGGCCCAAACCTAGCCCGATGAGGGCGGCCGCCGCCTGCTCGAATTGTTCGAGCGTGATCCGCATCCTGTAAAAATTACCTATATCATTATTTATGCCCCTTTCCTCGAGTGTCGAAGGTGGGCGCCTGTTCGGCTGCCCAGGGCCTTCGTCGCCGGGGTTGAAGGTGGGGTCCTTGGCGTCGGTCTCCCAGGTCCTTCGTTCGCTGGGCCTCATGCGTCCACGGTTAGCGTTCTCGGTGGTCTATCCCTCCTCCTTTTCCCGACGATGGGAGGGGGAATCCGTGTATTCTGTCGATGCCGTGTAGTGTGTGTGGTTAATGCGTACTTGCGAAGTCTCCCTCGCGGGCGCTTCACCGCGTTAGTTGAAGAGGTGGTTATTGGGATCTTGACGAGGGGATCGGAAGGGACGTAGCGAGGGGGACTCGAAGTTGTCGCGTTGTCATTCCGGAGTATGTCGCCTGAAGTGTTGGCGCATCCGTTTCCGCGTATCGTCGCCTCGCTCGCATCAGGCGGGACGCTCGTCGCCTTAGTTCCCTCGGTGGTAGAGATCTCGTCGTCATCTCGTCGTCGGGTCCCATCGTGAATAATCAGCAAACCAAGGTATGTGGTGCTGGGCCGGTTGTTGACTTCCGCGAAATCCGTCGCGGAGTAGTCTCCAAGCAACCAGCTTTGCAGACGTCCAGCTCTCGAGAGCTTGGTCCCGCTTATTTTGAGCTCCAGGTGTTCGAGGTACTCATCGATTTCCTCCTCCTGGAGCGTCAACACCTAGGTTTCTATTTCTGTTTGAGTGCGGTCCATTTTCTTCTGTTAGTTGTTTGCGGCTTGTTTCACGCGAAATTTACACGCTTGTTACGCGTGGTGCGAGTGCGAGTGCTGTTTTAAAAAAATCGTATCCAAGTAAAAAAAATTTTATTAACCGATACTAGGCTCGATCAAGGGCGTTTAATACTGTGTCTGCCGAAAGACTCTTCGCTCGTTATTTCACAATATAATGATCCTACCTATCAGGCGCGCTAACTGTTTGTTAGCGCGGCTGTGTGAGTTAGTATCTAATATTATAACGAGTCGCGCGTAATCACCAATAACCGCAGCTAATAATATTAAAAAAACGTTTACTTTAAGACAACACGATATCAAATAAAATTATCAAATTAAATTAATTTCGTTTGAAAGTTACCGGTGTTAGTTTTCCCCGGGCCAACGGGTACAATATTATTGATTTGCGACAACTTTCAAAATTTATTGGTGTTTACGCTTCTAAGAGTCGTTCGGTCGCACTCGTACGCGCTTACAGTTATTATTTACAATTTTACGCCGCGGCGGGCCTTCGCAAGCTAACTAACAGGCTATGTTTACTATTTTGGCTCTCAATATCAAGTGTGCACAACAACACTTGATTGCCACCTAAGTCGCTGGTTGACTGAGCGCAAGGTCACTATTAAGAACCGGTGTTTTGAACAATCAGAAACACCGTAGGTTCTTTTACGTTGGGCGCCATGTAACGGGGTTGCTTACCGTTTAATTATTTTTATTAAGACGATCGCGTAAATACGCTCGTAATCACCTATGTTCAATACGGAGGTCGGAGAGCAAGAGGGAACGGGTGTCTGTCAACCAACAAATCTACGAATCTACAGGAGTGGAATCAGTACGGAATAAACACGTCGAAATTACTTGTTAATATCACGAACGAAAACTATTGTCCTCTCTGATGTTACACTAGCATTGGCCCGCGTGTTTATGTTTACGGTAGCGCTCGCACGACGACAACTTACGGTGTCGGATCGCTCGCCGCTCTTTGTTAGCAGAGCTATTACATGCACGCTTCGCTTCGAGTACTGAAAATTAGTTATCATGCATACAATCGCGGTCGCGAGATTAAGCTGGCCAGCTTACCTTTATTTTTACAGACGTACGAAGACGAAGTGAACAATTCGCACTCTCACTACGGGGAAGTCTGTCTGTTCTATGCCGCGGATCGCGAGTTCGCGCGCACACGGTTTCGCCCTCGATGGCGAAACCTCACACACACACTCTAGATTCCGCAGGTAACGACGCTGCTTTCTCTGGCTCAGGTCTGCGCTCCGTGTAGCTCTGTAACGACAGCCTCTCGATCTCTCTCGTGCGCACAGGTAATTAGCTTGTCGGTCTCGATTTCCGTGGCTTCCGTATCGGTAGCTGATTCTTCACTAGTTCGTTTTCAATCGCGCGCGTTCCGTCTGCTCGCGTGCCGAATTCCGTCGTTACATATTTCGTCTCCCGGCAAGTGCTGCCCCCGCAGGCAGCCACTAGGTTAGGCAATTAACGCTAATTTGACGTTTACCGTCACAACCTTTTCCCTTTTAATTTATCTTGGTAATCATCAAAGAAAAAATACAAATTATTTAAAAAATTGTTATTATTAAATTAAAAAAATTTATTTTATTAATTATTTTACAAACCTGCAATTTCTTTAACTGACAAAAGCTTTCATAATACCAATTAAACAATCGATCAATATTATTAATCGTGTTTAATTTTATTAACTTGAATATGGATAACAAAAATGTAAATTGGTGCGCGCAAGACGTGCTATTCTAATTCTAGTTACTTTAAATATATGCTTCTACTGTATGAAAGTGCAATTTTTGTTTAGAATAACTCAATAAAACAAACTTTATTTATCTTTATTCGAATAAAAAAATAGATAAAATTACCTGCTGAGAACTTGCGCTACCTTCAATACTATCACAATCAAAAGGAGGTTTTCGAGCACACAAAGTTCGACCCATCATAGAATATGCTACCATCACTATCAAACCTGTAATTGAAAGTTATAAACAAAATCGCATGATAAATGATAATTTGAATGATAATAACAATTTGAAGCAAGCACTATAGTGCTTTTTTTATAAAAACAAACTTAAAATTACATATTGTTATATCTTTTATTCAATCTGATTTTTCATTTGCTTATATCAAGCCCTTTGTTTGGTAAATAATTAGGTATTGTCTCATTTTTATTTCTTTCGCACTCAAATTTTCTTTTTGTGGCAACATTTCATAAAAATCTTGTTGTATTATGCAAACTAATAAATCATTTATAATAATATAGATATGTCGCGAAAAGTATACTTTGAAGTAAATACGGATAAGGTAGGAATACGGACAAAGAAGGTTATTCAAATCAAAGTGAATTCTACGAGAATAATCGCAAAGTCTGCTAAGTTAATAAGATTTTCTCAGAGAATAAAAAATGAACTGTACGTATTTTCCGACTCTACAAAGAGAGTTTTTTATTTGATTTATTATTTTCCTCAGTGTTCGGGATGGTATGAGATGAATCATCGCGAGAATACGGTTTGATATCAATATGCGCAACTACAAAACGATTGCCTGCAAACGCAGTATCGCTTGCATTCTTTCACCCAATTCTCATTCGTAGAATCCGATACTTGACTGGCGCGTTGACATCTGTTCTAACTCGGCGAGAGAACTAAGAAAGCTTGACTGAGCAATCAAGTGTCGATCGCAATGAATGCGTTTTCGGTCGGGTAACACCGGATAATCTCTACGATCGCGATATGCCTCCTCGAAAGAAAACAAACATATTCTTTTACTCGACTGAGCGTATTTTTTGTTTTTTAAGCGGCGATCTAGTTTAAGATATTTATAAGAACTGTAAATAACGTAAGAAGCGTGAGCGTGAGCGATTTGAGCAGTGCGCCCTGATGCAAGCCAAATTTGTTTAGTTTTTGTAGCGTAATAGTCGAGGCGAAACGTTGAGTTTCCTTCAATTTCGTTCCTTTATGATCACGTTTATGACCGTGTATTCCTTTCTCTATGCATAAGATCTAACGATTAATCTGTCGTCAATGAGACTTATTGTGACTGAAGCCGCTGTCCACGCCCTGCAAACAAGCACATCGCAAAAACAGATGCTGCATTTGTTTCTTAAACCAGCAGGTCAGAACAAGATGGTTCATGACCTCATCTGGGTCTCGTAAGTCGAGCTCAAGGTTGAACGGTGGAGGGCAGAGAACGTGACTCTCTCCCGAAAACCAAAGAATTGTTATTGTATGATTGGGGGGACAGCAGGCATATTATCACCATTGGCTGCGGTGCAATAAAAAAAAGCAACGCCTATTTGGTCTTATCTTGAACTATGAAAGTGGGGAGGAATTTCCAATTTTTCTCGGCTTGCAGCTAGTGACGCATTGATCAGAACGCTTCGAACGCTTGATTAGGCAAGTCCTTTTTCTTTCTAGCGCTAGAATTTTGTATTACTTCGAAAGGCATTTTGGTTTTTATTACAATTAATGGCTCTTGAGATTGTTAATTCCGATTAATTTAAGTCAGTTTATTTGTGTTTGTTCCATAATTTATGGTATTTAAATAATTTGTCATAAAATTCTCTGTTCTCTAATGTTATACGATTATATAATTAAAATTGTTTGTTCTAAAATTGATTAAAATATTCTCACTCATCCTCAACCCGAATTTTCAGCGACCGACTGTAAAATATTCTACGCAACGCTTATTGTGTAAAGTTTAAGAAGAATGAGGCCATTTGGCTATGTCTTCTTTTTACTTCGACATAAACTGGTCGTATTTTCTTATTCGGACTGTTGAGAATAACATTTGGTGATCTTTTTATTTTAACTTTTACAGGTAGCATCATTTTCCACTATCTTGACGGTATCTTTTATTCATACCTATTAGGAGTGCATCACAGGAACAGCGGCAAAAAGGGATCTCTGTATATTTTAATAAATGCACATGTCCTGATTTTTTCGTAGTATTTTTTGCCCTGGTTAACCCGATATCACATTGGATTTTCTATTTTATAAGAATTTTAACAAGTTATAATCACAGATAAATTAAAAATGATCGAATTTTATTGAATTATAAATTTCACATGTATGTATGTGACATCTTCAGTTCCCGCGTCACGTATTAAAAAATATTTCATTAATTTTATAATCTAGCGGTTCAGGAATGATATAAACAACTGACAAAGAAATTTCTACTAATTTTATGATTCTAAATTTAACGAAGAAATCCTTTAAACAAAAGTTCTTTGCTAACTTAAGCTTCAGCTAAGGAGTTGTACAAATAATAGAGGAATTTAGATGTAGTTATACGAATTAGTGCTTTTTTTTTTAAGATTTATTATTATAAAAATTAAAGTTAATAATTATAACCTATTATAATTATATATAGAGCAGAATTTTATTAAATAGTATCCACATCGAAGAATACATGATTCATAAATATTCCTCTGTATAAACATGTCACTTTTGCAATTAAAAAAATGAAATTTATTAAATATGTTATTGGCCAGTGATTTTAGCAATGTATTGTTACATTAGAATGGATGAATATTTTTATCAATGAAAATTACTTACCCGGGACTGCATAGACAAGGACGAAGCAAGTAGCGCCAAAGACGTGAGCATGAATACCAAGCGATTTAAAATCCTCTGAACAAACATAAAACGATGGAGGTTTTGGCATCTGTAAATCTTGATTAGACCACTGGCCTGCAAAAGTTATGTTATCTAAATCCGTCGTTGGACTTTGCAGCGTCACCTAAAATATAATACAATTGATTCGAAGACTTCCAATTATTAAACAATCTAGAAAAATATTAATTATTTATTTATTGACAATCGGCTGCTTGTTTGAAAAAAATGAGTTTTTGTGAACGTTGGTATAGTAGTCATAATTTTATAATGTTTGATACAGTTATGATATATCTTAAGGGAATGAACCAGTGTTACACAGTGAAAATTGAAAATTTTTTTTATTGGTATGTTAACATTCCTGATACAAATATCGCCATGAAACTCTTTTTACCTTAAAGTACTTGGAACAAACTTTTTTAGATAAAAATTTCAAAATCTAAAGTATATGCCTGACAAAATCAATATGTATATGTGCAATTCTACAAACAAATCTCCATAATTTGATACAAGTTCTTCAGATTCCAAAAATAGGGACAAACTTTTGGTCGAGCTTCTTTTTAGCATAATTTGGTATTTACAATCGAAAAAAATTAGACCATTATTGGTCGAAATGTGTTTCACCCTTTTTTTCATCGACGAACTTCTAAAAATAATAGAAAATATTATGCTATCTCGCTATGAAATCAATTGTTTTTTGACAGCTTCTAAACATTCTTTCCAATAATATGATACATATTTTTCATGTATTTTTTTAAGTAGAATACGATTGCACTATTGGTTTTATGTTAGAAATTAACCCAAGATCGCTAGAGAGAAAAACTATTGACAAATACGGATTTTTTTATAGCAGTTATAATAAAGCATACAATTAGCGTTTTTCAGGTGATTGCTATAATAAAACCGATAGTGACACCGTATTTTACGACGAAAAATACATCGAAAACATATAATACGTTATTAAAAATAAAGCTTGTGCATTGTGGTTTCTTTAGAATTCAAACGAAGTAGCAATGCCGAATAAACTCATATATATGTTTTCAATCCATTATGTCGTGTTAAATACGATGGTGCTATTGGTTTTATGATGAAACTAAACTAAAAAATTATTATCTATAATTTAGGCCAATATTTTCAAAATTTATAAACAAATTGACATCTTGAAAGACTTAAATTTTGTAATAACTTTATACATAATTTATAATTATTATAATGTATGTAAAATAATTTATTAATGTGTAACTCAATTTTTAGAAATATTGATTAATTAGCGACTATCAACTGTTAACCTATTAATTCATTTAATTATTCTATTTATTTTTTCAAAAGTGTGCAACGTTTTTGTCGGCTTTTGCAGAGCTTTTCACCTGGTGTTTCTATTTTACATTAAATTTAGGAAGGCAATCGAATTTAAATATCTTCCGGCTCTGGTCACTGGAACGATTTTTTTTCTAGTCAAAAATGTTATTATTTTATTTATTTTTTTTTAATTTAAGTGATTCGACTTGGTACCAAGTGCTATCATAAACTGCACTGATCCATTCGCCTATTTTGAATATTCTTTCCCTTGACTATCATCCGCTGACTACAATACCTTCCTCTTACTCAAAAAATAATGATTACAATCAATTGAAGTACAGTCTAAGCAAGTTAAATAGTGAAAAAATAGTTTGTTTGGTTTAATCTTATCCTATGTAACTTGAACTTTTATAGTTTTCTTGACATCTTTAAAGTTTTCTGGAAGTAATTCACGAGTTTACAAATTATTTTCTGTTTTTTTTCGTAACTATTGAAGACCGACTCGTACTCATTAATAATATACTGTTTAATAAGACATTCATTAATTAATAATTAATTAACTAAATTAATAAGACCGTTCATCTCTGAAGTAAAAGTAATATTATTTCCATTGACAATAAGCCTATCACACCTTTCTTTTATGCATTAGCTAACGGTGTCAGCCACGCTTTTACAATGACTAGCACCTGTAAAATTCCATGTTGCCTGCTCAAGAGACAGCTTTCTTGAAAAATAATTAAACAAAAAAAAATAGATTCGTTTTTATATTAAGTGGAAGGCCCATCACTCTGAAAATGTAATATTTTAACGTTAGATAGTAACATTTTAATTCTAGTTAAAACAGGTTGAAGCTCTGCTCTGCTATTGCGTCGTGATTAAAGTTGTCAAAAAGTACAGCAAACGATTCAAGCGTCATTTTACCCTCGTCATTTTATAATAAAATTCCCCAGTATAAAGAGATATCTGTTTTCTCGATACGCTAAAATGAATACTTTGGATTTTGCGACTGTATTTGACTTTACAATTTTGAAAAAAATTCGTAATAATATAAGCTTTATTTTTTGTAATTTTTCTTTTCAATTTAGCCACAGATTTAAACTGATGAGACGTAGAAAATACACGTTGCATGAATTTTATTATATCTCTGTTAAACTCGTCCATTAACTGAGCAACATTACATCGAACTTGATATTTGGCACCATCACGCGTGGCATTTTCAGATTTCTAATAAAAATTATAGGTAGGCTATTGCAACTGAAACGTAGACAAATCACAGTCTGCAATGATTGCACGATCGGTTCATACATTTTTCATTATTAATATTGCAACAAATACGTTTTACACACTCGCTAAGATTTTTTCTTTTGTTACATTGTGCACATTGGTTCTTATGAACTTTCTAGTTTTAGAGTCACGTCTAAATATGTTTCTCGACTTTTAGCTTTGAAATCCACTATGGCCTTAATTTATAAAATAATGCCCGAGATATTACACCAGCAGTTGAGCGATACTTTCTGTGCAGATTTTGTATATTATTATAATATCGTGTCTATTTTTTTATATCTCTGCCTCACTGTAAGAACAAGTTCCTAGAGCATGGCAAAAGTTCTCGTTAGAAAGAAAAAAAAATCACGTACCGATGATTTTAATTTGTCTTTCAAGAAAGGCCACAGATTTTTGTTTGGTTAAATTTTGTCATTTGTAATTCTTTGTTACGACATTAAATTTTTCAGAGAAAATGCGCCTCTTTGCATAAAAACTGATCAATCGAGTATATGATTTTTCTATACGAGATCTATTACATTTTAAATGTATAATAATAAAATTAGCGTAATATAACTAACGCGAAAGTCATAGATTTTTATTATAAATAAATTATTTTCTTTTTTATAACTACCGTCATTATTTCGTTAAATATTCACGCTTTATGGTATAGTTTATCAACTTTTTATTTATTTCTGTTAAGTTTTTATTCAGCTACGTAATTTGTTTTCTCATAAGTCTCTCCTTCGGTGTAGCGCAATTATGTTGATTGAACTTATTATTTAAAGCGAAATCATTATTGAAAATAAATAATATATATGAGTTTCAATGCTTCTGTTATAGAATTTTATTGTTGCATGAAGGCTCGCCAATAAAATTACCTTGCTCGTCGTAACGTCCAAATTGAAACTTTTCGCTAAAAGACATTAAAGACGGTGGTGAGTGTTAGATGATTTGCTGTAAACAATCATTCAAAATATATAGAATTATTTATTAAAAAATCAAATGTACTAATAGTTTGATGATTATTAACACACACATGCCTGAAATAGTACATTACGATACAAGTGCAAGATTCTTGTGTCGTGTGGCGTTTACACCCGAGCGAAGCGAGAAACTCTTTCCCGAACATGTGCCGTACCGTATTTTTTGATACGACATGTGGAAAGTGCGATTTTCAACGCACGTTTTTTACCGAGCGTGCGGGAAAAACGCACTTTCCGCACGGAGTGTCGAAATAGAATATTATTATTACCAATTTTTTTTACTTCTTAATGTATGATAAATTCTCATTCTCTCTCTACTATAAATCTTTTTCTTTTCTTTCTGCTTCTCTTCGCTTTTGTTCAAAATATTGTTTTTTTTTTGTTTTGTTTTTGTTCGATATTATCCACAACCGAATATAAAAGTATATTAAAGCAATATTTATGAAATCTTAACTAGCTGATACTATACGGGTTTGGGTTGAGGTGAAGTGAAAATAAATAACAACAAAAACACAAACAAATTAGAATGCGACTCGATCTTTTATTCAAATTTAGCACATGAAAGAGGTTAAAGGGCGTATATAAATTATAATTTTATAGAACGCAATGGTAAAAATCAAACGAAACACTGAAATCAATTAAAACGAAAACTATAAAAGTTGCAAGCGAAGTACAATTGAACAAATGACGCGAGAACACAACAAAAAGTCACAAGCTGCTGCAGACAACTTTACAACTTGCACGACAAAATCTAGCACTAGAATAAAACTTGCCTAATTAAAAGCCGAGAGGTTCTGATGAGTTGTGTTGAACGAGTTGAAAAAAGTGTAAATTTTTCCTCTCCCGCTTTCCCGTCAGTTTTCTATTTTGTGGCTCAAGGGCCGTGGGGATTAGTTTAGTTTTAGTTTTGGTGTTTAGCCTGCTATTGCACTCGCTTCACGTATCACGATTGGCTTTCGGAGAGATCACGGCCCCACCCTCAACCTTTTCAACCTTCGAGATTTTATCTCGATGTGAGATTCGAAAATACAAGTTTCCGATCTGCTGGTTTGATTTACAAGTCAACATCAGTTTTGACGATATGTATGCTTGATTTGAGCTTTTATAGGTAGCGGCCAACTCTCGCACATGTAGTTCAAACCACTCGTATGTTAGCGTGTATCGTATAAAATTGCTCATAACCCATTTAAAATGGCAACTTGACTTTTCACAAATACTTTACGCTTTTGTGTTTATTTTCGCGTCCAATGTTACGAAGTATTGTTACTCTTAAAATTTATATATGTTTGGCATCGCTCACTTACAATACTTTCTTATGAACTAACAAAGGATTAGAAACATTTTTGAAGTCTTATTTTCTCACTCTCGTATTTTTGTATCAGGTAAGACACTCGAAGCACACATTACTCATTCAAGTGCAAAACGAGACGAAACAATCTTTTATTGCTTTTCGAGCAGGCCCATAGAAATTTGATAGAAAACATCTGTACGCTCGCCAGTCACCGTCAGGCGCTGATTTTCTTGTAGGCGGCATTTAGAGATGCGGTCGTAAATTATTTCTAGATGCGCTTCGCGTGCTTTTTAAACGTACGACGTACAATTTGGGTATCAGGCAGTTCAAATGCGTTCACATACAAGCTTTGAAAATTATATCGAATATATTGTGAACAAGCATCTTATTACTCGCACATGATTTTGTCCGTATTATTTTGCTATTATATTTACGATGCTTAGCCATCTGGAATAATGCGGCCTGGAGTTTGATAAGAATTTTTTCAAATGTTTTCGAACTAATAATATCTGTACAACATTTTTTTTATTACTAGATAATATGTGCACACTATCTTTTCTTATCATAAATCTTTATTAACTTATTTCATATTTTTTACTGTAGCTACAATTTCTTACTGGCTTTTTTTAAAATCTATTTAAAGAGATTGAACATTTACTATGATGTGACTATTACGTGATTGCTATGTGTGATTTTTGTACCCACACGGAGCATTTATAGAGTTCATCATCTACGTTTGTGTACATACTCTATGATTTGAGAAATTTAAAAATAAAACGATCATGTTTCCATCTTTATACAGTCTTTATTACAGTCGCCACCTTGAAGAAAAATTTACAATTCATTCTTATTCACATTTCTACTCGTAAAGACACTTCATAAGTTTTACGCTAAGAGCTCTACGATTCTAATACAAGATACGACAATATGACTATATATATATATATATATATATATATATATATATGTATATATATATATATATATATATACATACATATGTTTTACAAAAGTAATACATGTTTTAAATATATTTTTTCACGTACAATATGCTGCTATCAACTTTATCATAGCAATTGCCGACAAATAGCTAGAAGCGTTATTTGTGATGCTTCTTGTAAAAACGAAAAAAACTTTTCTCTTCTAGCGTTTTTGTAACGATATTTATCATAAAACCAATAGTACCATCGTATTCTACTCGACAAAGTGAATCGAAAATATATATCAAATAATTGGAAATAATATTCAGTAGCCCTGAAACAAGTTAATTCGTACAGGGACTAACAACTTGGCAGGTTTATTGGTATTGATACTTCTTTTGAATTCAACGGAAACCATGATACACAAGCTTTATTTCCAACAATATGGTATACGTTTTCTATATATTTTTACACATATAATACGATAGCACTGTCGGTTTTATTCTAGCAATCAGTTGAAAAGCGCTAAATGTATGCTTTGTTATAATTGCTATAAAAAATCCGTATTTGTTAATAGTTTTTCTCTTTGGCGATCTTGGGTTGAAAAAATACATGAAATACGTATATTATATTATTAGAAAGAATGTTTAGTAGCTCTCAAGAACAATTGATTTCATAGCGAAACACCGCCACATTTTCTATTACTTGTAGAACTTCGTTCGTGAAAAAAGGATAATACACACCATTAACCTGTTAACCGGGGAAATCCCTTTCTAATTACGCAACATATAACGGGCGCGTCCTTTTCCACTAAGACATGTATGAATGACGTATTACCATAGTAGTAGTAAAATATACGTCCCGCCCGTTCCAGGGCGCAATATAAATATCGAGGACGTATTCATACGAGTATGTCCTACTCGTACCCGATATTGTTTACTTTTGACGTATTTATACGTCCCGCTTGGTTAACAGGTTAATAACCCAATTATTTTCCAGTTCTATATGCCAAATTGTGCTAAAAAGAAGCTCGACTAAGTGCGTGTCCCTATTTTTGGAATTTGAAGAACCTTACATCGAATTATGGAGTTTTGTTTGTAGAATGCATCATCTTCATCTTGTGCATGGAATGTACTATTATCTAACTAGAATGCAGATTCTTGTCTAGCGTGAGGTTTACGACCGAACGAAGCGATATTTCCAGCACGTTCAGCCAGGAACGTCTACTCAAATCGAATTTTGCACACGTCGTATCAAATATCAAATATCAAACGTAAGATACATGTTTGAAAAAAGGGTTCTTGCTTCATTTGAACGTAAACGCCCCACGAGACAAGAATTTACTTTACCGCACTTGAATCTTAATGTTATCGAAAGGAGTACGTTTGCTATTCAATAAGTGTGTTTAACATCCAAGAATTAAGTTGATGCGAGACTTTAGACTGCATAATTATATTACCAAATATCAAAGCTACAGCGTCAGAAGAATGATGGAAAATTTGAGAGAAGATTAATAGTTGTAGTGTTAGATATATAGAGAATCGGGCGTTGCCGCAACTTCCATCTAGTGGGTACTTGTCAGCGGTTCGCGACCCCGACCTTTGATTTTGCAAAGAATTATACTTGTACCCATCAGAATAAAATTCAAGCTACTCACTGATAATACATTCAAGTAATCGTACATCCATTTTTATTTATAAAAAAGTTAATGGTAAAGTAGAATAGAAAAAATTGGTGATTATTTCAGAAAACTTGATTAGCTATTTAAAAAATAGAAACTACAACGTGTAAACATTTTTTATATTTACAGTAGAGCTGTGAATCAATCAATACAAGAATCTATACTAACTAACTTTTGTAATTTAGCATATCATTTTCTAAAGTATTCTATTGAAGATGAGTGGCATTTTTTTGCAAGTTATTAGAGAATATTATTAAGTTATTAGTCAATATAATAATGTTTGAGGAAATATGGAAATATTAACTTGAAGAACTAGTTTAGATAATACTATTAATGGGTAGTATCAACATAGCCAAATATGATGTTTGCGTATTATACAGTTGAAAAATACGCTGTGATTACCAACAACTCTGAACCAAACTTTAAGAAAACAAAGGCAATTAATGGAATATTATCATGTCATGCAATATATACAAATATTTTTATTAGAAAATAACAGAAATATTGTGAAGTAAAAGTAAATAAATGGAAAATTAAAAGTACGAAGTACAGCTGCGGCACTACCTGTTTGATTCATGCAGCGTGCCGAGCGGGTAGTTGCGGCCACCAAGCGGCGCCTCAATTATTTTTATTGTTTATTACGAGCCTATAATTGTCATGTAGAAAAATGTTAATACGCTTTTTTATAGAAAAAAAGTTAAGGAATACGATGAAAGAAGAATTTTTTTCATCCAAATATGGCCTTATCGAAAATATTCATTTTTATACAAAAGTTATAGTTTTTGAAAAATGAAAAAAAAATTTTTGTAAATATTTTAAAAGAACACGATATTCTACATATTTAAAAAAAACTTAAGAATCCAAAACTTTAACGGTCACTGAAAAGACAAGAATGAGCCTTATATAAAAGTAACTGCGCACACGCATACACGAAGTAATGCTTTTGTTAATTAAGATTTGAAATATTCATACTTACAACTTTCAAGACAGGAGAGAAAATACCAAGAGCAACGACCCATAAAGATGCGATGACAATTATCGTACTTTTACGATTAAATAACCTTCTTAAAGCTATTGGGCTTCGTATCGCAAGATACCTGTCAATGCTCATTGCAGTGATCGTGAAGACGGAAGCTGCAACAGCCACACCTGTTAACAAAAAAAATCCGTTTATTGTATGTGTTCATGATTTCGAAGTATTTATTAATCACTACAAATTAGACACAAATACAAAACGCCCTTTCATACATTAACTCTGGAGTTATCCCACAATTATTATGTTTCATTAATTTGACAATGTAGCAAATACTTTATATTACGACTATACACTAAGAAGTACTTTGATGTCTGTGCTCTATAGAAGATACGATTGATTAAATTTTTCAAATCGAGTCATTTCAATTAAAATTATTATATACTTTGTTAAGCTAAGGAGTCGAACGGGAATTTCATTCAATTATCGAGAGAAAATACTGTAGGTTAATATTCATTACGCAGAACAATCTAATTCAATTAAACTACTATGATGTATTATCAGTATTATTTTTAGTTTATTTATCAACTCAAATTGTCGATCATTGTTAGACATATTTTTTAAAACATATTTAGCATAAATATTTAGAATAAATATTGATACATAACATATTTAGAGTAAATTCAGCATGTATTGAAACTTGTTAAATACTTTAACAAGGGTACGTAAAATTAAATTCTTAGAGAACATTGGCCATTGGTGGATAGCTTAGCATGCCGAAAGAATCTTTTACAATTCAGTATAGATTGAAAAGGGTTCGAGCTGATGTACGGGAGAATTAAGCTCAAGGTGTTTATACAACGACCGAACTTCTAACTTGATCAGACTATGCTGTTGTTTGTGCGAAATATCCTAAATCGCGACTGAATCCATTTAGAATTCTCCTTAATGCAAAATACTTCTTAAGTTTGAATCACCCTTAAGCAGAATCCTCTTGATTATTTACTTATATAATAAACAAATATGATAAGAATAACCAAAAGCTTTTGCTCAACCTCATTGAAAACTGTTCTGGATAGTTAATAAGCAAAGTAGGGTAACAGACGTGAAATAAATCGAATAGCACATGCGCCAAAGAAAATACTTTTATGACACTTTATATATATATTTTTTTTCCTTGATTTTTGGAATATATTCCACGGTTATGCACCAGCGAATCCGGTTAAGGTCTCATTTTTACGACCTCGTACCAAAAGACACCGGACGCGTTCAAAAAATACGGCTCTTAAAAAATACAATTGCAAAAAATACCGTTTGAGCGATTTGGGTTAACCCATTAAGGCTCAGGCCAAAACTGGATTAAATAGTATCAAACTAACTTTTGGAAACGAGGCAAAATGAAAAAAAGTACCCGTATTTTTTCTTTTGTCTTTTGCAATTGTCTATAAAAAATTATTTAAACAAATTACCAAAAAAGTCAATTTTTTGCAAATTTGATCACGCCAATCCATTCTATGAGAAAAATTATGACGAAAATCTATGCAATATTCTTTTTTCAGACCTTAATTTGTTAATGTACAATAGCAAAATAGTTTAATACATGAAATTTTAATTTTTTAGGTGAGTTTGTAATTCTATGCAAACTCTGCTACTTAATAGTTAGGTGCATAACTTAGCGAAAGTTTTTTGTTATAAAAATCTGAAAACCGTGTTAGAGATCAAGGCGGGTTAATCTGCAATCTCATACTTTGGAATTGATTAAAAAAAAGTGTTCAATCTTCTGTACGAATGTTTATTGCTGTTTTACTCTAACAAATTATGGTCTAAAAAAAATTTTTATGTAAGATTACGTCATAAATTTTCTCGCAGAATGAATTACCGTAATCAGATTTGCAACAAATTGATTTTTGTGGTAATTTGTTTAAATAATTTTTTATAAACAATTGCAAAAAACCAAAGAAAAAACACGGGCACATTTTTTTCGTTATGTCCCATTTTCAATAGTTAGTTCGATGCTATCTAATCCAGTTTTGACCTGGGCCTAAATGTGTTAATGTTTAAGAAAACATGTAAACGAAGCCATGGGGATATGCACTACACGTTTTATCACTTGTTTCTGCTTGTTTATTTATTTCCTTATTTTTATGGAAGGCATTTATTAGGAAAACTTTATTGATTGACCACACCAGAGCCAACCTGTGTGGTCGGTCTCTGCCCGGTCTATCAGCCATCGGCTGCGATAGGGCGTTGTGAATAGCTGGTCTGGTAGTTTCCTCGATTGGGAAATCATGTCCAGTGTCCAATTTCATGTATACATATGAGGTCATCTAGCTCCTTCCCATAGGCATTGAAAACTAGCTCCGATCGTCCTGAGTTAGACAATTGCTGGTCCTTCTGGCCTAGGCATTGTCCGGGTGACTCGCTACTGATCCTGACTCATTAGTGCTATTTGTGGCTTTTCCGCGGTCGATCAGCCCAGCCAAGTGGAGGATTTTCATGTCGTCCTGGGTCCGACCTCTTGGAAGGACGAAATTTGTCACGCGTTATGCGACGAGGGTAACTCAGTTTTAAAGTCCTTCGATGATGCGCGGCAGTTCCCTTTTCATCCTTCGCTTTTCCCTTGGTATATCTTCCTTAATCTTCCAGTATGTAGGAGAATACTGAGCCGGCTGGAAAGGGAGCCGCTTTCCTGCGCGACTCAAGAACTCTCATGTGTAGGACTTCCTTCTCTTCTTCGCTTGGCCGACTCGTAGTCGGCTGATTGGTCGAGTCACTATGGTTAGTGTCCGGGTCGGTCTTGTCAGGTAACCATGGACGTCCCTAGCCGTCAAGGTCACCATTCGTGCCGCTATCTGCGTCGTTATAAACGGCTCGGCCGACGAGGTGGCCATTGATCCGAACTCCGGCTCCGGCAGGTGGCGTTCTAAGGGCAGAGGTGTGGCCTGTGCCCCAAATTTTTGCGGTATTATTGAATCTGAAAATGTAAAGGTCTAAGTTTTGGTCTACGGGGAGTGCAATTAATTTGGATCACTAGCAAATACGCGCAGTATTAGGTGATTCCCATCGATTTTGTTGCGTGACCTGTCTCTCCTACAATCAGTAATCATGATCAGCTACGTCGTTGACGTAGCCCTGAGTGCGCGCGAGTGTCTCTGCGCGGCTTTGTGGCCAATGACACTGGGGTCAGCTGACGCCTGCTGCATATTTCGTTACCGCCTGGAGTCGTGGGAGGTGTCGTTAGTGCGGGTATCGAGGTATCAACGTTGCGAGCTCTGATGCTTGCGAGATCGATACACATAAGCACGTTACGGTTAAGGCCTTGAGCGCCGCTTATTATTTTTCTTTTTCTCTTCTTTTTTGCGTGACGGTCACCACATAGTCATGAAGAAAAACGGAAAAGTGCGCATCACTGGAAGTTAAAAGCCAACGCTGAATCTGCACATGATCATAGACGTCTATCTAATTCCAAAGACCGAGCATATAAAAGGCGCTACATTTTTTTGTCATCTTGATATCACGAATGCGTATACACATTTAGCTGTGGATAAAGAATTCGCTTGTACCCTTACATTTCACATCGACTTACGAACTGATTCAGCCTACGACAGCAATTTATGGCGCACCGAATATCCCAGCAATATGGCAAAATAAAATGAAAGCAATTCTTTAAAGGTTTAGATAGAGTACTTAATTTTTTACGACATTTTGGTTTGTGCTGAGTCTCTTGAAGAATTATTTCGAATACTAGATTTTTTAGATCATAGACTACACGCTCAAGGAATCCACAAAGCAGAAAAAACTTATTGAATCCATTTGTGACAGTTCGAAACCATCCACTTTATTCCGGATGGATAGGTGCAGTTGACCTAACATCGCGCGAGTTCCTGGTTTTTATGTTTGGCAGACGTGTCGTGACCTGCCAAAGACCGAAAGAAAGGGAAAAGAACTAAGCATGCTCGGGTCAGTCAGGGCGCACATGTGCGGCGGCTGTTCTTGTCTTTTCTTGCCTCCGACAAATGCAAATTAGTTTAAGTTGCGAGCGAACAAATGTGAGAAGTAATTATAGGCGTTACTCATAAATATCCAGAGCATTTAAATAAGGAAGGGACGAGTCGTTGCGACGAAAATGATCGGACAACCCAAGGTCAAGGGTTGGACACGAGGCTGTGGGTGAAAAGAAGCCTCTGTCCAGCGATCTCCGATTTTGTATGCGCCAGATGTGCATGATTGAAAATAGGAATAGGCACTAAAAGTGCACCATAGGCACTACAAGTACACAAAATCGGCACTATAAGTGCATAAAATTGGCACTGCAAGTGCACCCATTGGCACTACAAGTGCATAGGAAGGGATAAAAGCTCAGCCAACTGCTGAAATTTGAAAGTAAAACAGACGGCTGGCGCCCTTCCTAGACTTCTTAGAACTCACCGCAGCGCACTGGTCTGTTTGGGCCTCGAGAAAGGAGAAAAACTCGGCAGCGTAATGCGACAGCTTTCTGGCCAGAACCCTGAGACTCGTCCCGACTTTCGACCGTGAAGGTGCCGTTTCATTTCTTTTATATTCTTGCGTGCGATTCTTTTGTTTAGATTTAATTTTTTTTTTGTTTCGTTTAAAAATTGCTTTTAATCTAATAATTTACTTGTGATTACGATTAAATTTATCTTGAATTTAAGTTAATGTTATTAGTTTAGCATCTATCGATTTGCTTAATATCGTTTTATAATAAGTGCGAAATTGTTCATTTAAGTTATTAAATAGTTTCTTGTAAAATTCAAAACTTATTATTTTAACCACGCCTTACCAGAACATACTTCGAAAGAATTAAAATTATTCATAGGAAAAGCAGCTTCCTATACTGCTTTCATACCGCATTTAGTAACAATGGTACGTCTTCTTCGAGATATGCTGCTTGCAGAATCATTTCGCTGGTCTTCTGAAGCCAACGAAGCATATGAGACTTAAAGAATATTCTTATTTCACCTCAAGACCTCATCGCTGTAAACGCTAGTAAAACTGGCCTTGTAAGTAATGACGTTGAGTGTCAAATTGTTCACGCTAGTCATACTATGACGGCGAAAGAACAACCTTATGTATCTGCAGATTGGCAATTGTCTAGGCAGTTCAAAAATTTTTATTAACGATAATTGTTATTAACGATTTACATGCTGCTGCTCAC